GGCTGAGATGAGAAACACAGACAGGTCAGATCCAGAGGCCTGCAGAGACTCTTGAACGACTGGTATTGGAGTTGATGAAGATGCAACACACAAAGACAATGAGAAGCTGTCCAGGAAGGTGCAAAAGCTGTTTTCTGAACTCTTCTCAGCATGAGAGAAGCTGTGTTTCCTTAAGTTTCACTGTGAAGGTGAAAGAGCAGAGTCATCCACCCCCCCAAAAGGAGTGGATGTAGTGGAGGAGCAGAGGAGGGCGCCCAGGTATTACCAGCGCTAAAGCACCTCCAAACATTATCCTTCACCCTTTGCATTATGAAAAAATAAAACAAATTTTTATTAAAAAACTTAAATGTCTGTGGTAGTTATTCATGTTTATTATGTAAAAAATTTATTCACATGCCAGCCACAGTTGCAGTCACTTGATTTTTATTAATTATTAAAGTGGAAATGGAAAAAAATAATATGTTTAAAAAAATGCTTTTACTTTTAATGGTTCATTTGCATCACTGAACACCACCTCATTTTATACATAAATCATGACAATGTTTTCAGTGACCTTGGCTGATTCCATAAGCTTCATAAAAGAAAGGTGGTTTAACTAAATGTGATACACACCTAGATTATAGTGACTCTGGTATCTGGCTTGTTCTTTAAGACTGATTATTCTGACAATAATTCTGAACTGACATGCCAATAATTATAGTAATAACTTCATAAAAACTAGACACAAAACCTATTTTTTCATGAACACGCAGCAGGGTTTACTTGGATCATATGGGGGAGAGCACATTTGGGAAATTACAAAGTTGTTGATATTTGCAATTGGATATGGGCTGCAGCATAAATATTTTACCACAAAGATGATTAAAACACTCAAACACTTCAAAATGTAACAAAATGTAAAGTGTGATATATTGCTGGTAGTAAACAGACGATAAACAATAATATTGAAATCAAACCACAAAGCAAAATGATCCTCTAAAAAATTTCTAAATGTATGATATTGTCAAAAAATATGAGCTTGAATAAATAAACCAACACTTAAAGGTGCACTGTGTAGCTTTTCAGTTGGGGGTCCGTCAACTGCCTGTTTTTATGGATATGTCATTGCTCTGCCTGGAATGTTCCACAGTGTGACATTAAACAGGTCTACTTTACATTTATTCAATTACAGGTGGTTTTATAGCTCATAAATATCTACAAAAACAGGTATTCTGACTGTGAGCGGGGATGCCTCTGTAAAGATTAATGCCATACTGTGAAACATTCCAGACAAAGCAATAACATCTCTATGAAGAAAAGCATATGACAAACCCTCCACCAGAAATGTTATACAATGCATCTTGAAGTAATAAGTTTGTGTCTTGAGTCATCCAACGTCTCATTTCAACCTTCAACAGCTCAATTGTAATACACAAAAAAAGTCCCATGATAAATACTGACCCCTCAAAATGATTCTTTCATCTGTCATGTATTGAACGATAAGTAACTGATTGAGTAATTATTGTAACAGATCTACTTAAATCACAGTACTTTCATTTACCAGGCGTTATAGTAATCTCTCAGTCGTCCAGGTACGTTCCATAGTTGTCCGTGGGCTTATACTAGTTTGTGTGGTCTTATACTTGTTCTGATACAGTTCAAGATCATTCCAAAGCTGTTCTTCGAAGGTTCATTTCTGTCCTGAGAACGTGACTTTTTTAGTATTGAATCCTGCTCAAATGAGTAGCTAGTTTCAGTACCAGTTTTTGTATCGATTAGTCTTCGATTTTCATTGCTTAACAAACCTATCAGGGACATTAGCAATGAATACATACCGTATTTTCCGGGTGATTAGGCGCGGTCTTAAGCCTCCAAAAACGACCGCGTGCCTTATAATCCGGAGCGCCTTTTATATGAATTTACGCGAGTGTTCCAGTACAACCTCAGTAAACGACAAAGCCGCACCACTTGCAGCATTACGGCTACCGTAGTCAGGAGCATCGCGGAGTTATACGTACTGTGATTTCTCATTTTTCCTGTGGACGAGGAAAAGATGAGTGACTGGCTGCGAGAAGTTTACCTTAAGAGACCGGATGGCTTTTTCCACATATCTCCGTCCCTATTGATCTGCGACTCCAGCGCAGTAACAGATTGTTGTCCAGACGCAGCCGCGATTCATTTTCGAATTATTTTACCAACAATGGCCAATACAGAGAATGTAAAACACGAAGATCAGAGCAAGAACCAGTGTGCGAACATGTGGCTCCAGAGTGAGTCAAAATTGGGGGTGTGTACGTCTGTTCAGGACCTGCACACACAGAGAGGTCCCGGTGTTCCCCGTGATCATGTACCAACCAGCATTTGTTATTTTAGGCTTTAATTAACCAAATAATTTTATGTCAATAGCCTATTCAATTGACACAACTTCAAAAAGTCCCTGCTTTTAGCCTAGTGTGAGAAATACAGTCGGACTAGATCCAAACCATAGTCCTGAACCAGCGGGGGCAGCTCCGGTTCAGGCCGGGCTCAGAGGAGCTGAGCCACGGTTCTTGAGCGCGGAGGACCAGAGCAGCCCGTCCGGACCTGTAGTCCACAGCGCATTCTTGCTTTTCCCGCACGGAAACAGCGCGCAGACGACGGAACGTACCCGCTCGGACTCAGTCCATCAAGCACTGGTCTTGCTCGCCACCGTTTGGAACCAGCACATGGAGGATGGAGCCTCCGGACCATCTGACCAACGCGCTTGTAGGACGACAGAAGACCAAGGACCAGACCCCAGCGCCGTCCTGAGGAGCTGCGCGCTACTGTGAGCGCTGTTGGCTGCTGCTGTTACCCGAACTCTGGGCTGATGCGGTGAGTTTGTACAAAGTTCTACATGTTGCTGTTTAATAAGTTCATGGTGATAATTTGAGATGAGGACGGCCCGTGGTATTAACAGGGAACATCGGTGTTGGTAACTGGAGTATCGCTGTTTTCCCGGGAAACAGAGACACGTCAATCGAACCAGTTTTGGTTCGTTTGTCGGTGTGAAAGTGGACCACACTGGAGTGTATTTGCTACATAATAACAATTTTATTGCCTGGTGCGGACCAAATAATCGAACTAGCGTGTTAAAACGCCCTAATGTGTTATTTTTAGTTATAACCGAACAATTATGAGTTATTGTAAATACGCTGACAATTTATCGGTCTCAGACAGATTTTTGTTTTTTACGTGTTACAAATGAACAAAGTTGAGAGTTAACGTAACGAGTAAACGCGTTAAATAAAGTTTGACTGATTTACCTAACTGTTGTGTTTCATTTAACGCGCCTTATAGTCCAGTGCGGTTTATATGTGAAAAAAGTTTGGGAAAACGACAGTGCGTCTTATAACCCGGAGCGCCTAATCACCCGGAAAATACGGTAATAGAATCCCATCAAGACAGTCTCATCAACGCAATTATACTATACTGTAATTTCAGCCTTTGCCATGTTCAAATTTCTGTTTCAGTTTGATTGTAATTACACTTGCAGCCTTGCACCTCCTGACCTTTAAATGGTGATAAAAACGCTGTGTGTGCATTTCACTAATATAAATTAAGTCCATTCTTAGTCACTTAGCAGATAAAAGGGTAATTGCACAGTGGTCTGTCTAATTTGGTTTAATTGTGCATGTCCATAAGGAGAATCTCTGAGCAATTATTTTCAATTATATATTTCAGTATTTCTTGTGGATTCAAGAGTCTATGGGTGAATGAAACCCCTCCATATTTTTCTTGGCATTATTATTGCAGCAGATAAAGACAGATTTATCCATGGTTCCACACCTAACCCAATGTCCGTTTTTAATACAGTCTATGAATACTCTTGCTAAAGGTCAAATGAGACAGACTCAGGACTTCATTGCAACTCTCCTCTCACACAATTGTATATCTCCAAATGTCATACAAGTTAAACTACTTCCTCCTCCCTCTCCAGTCCTATCTATCTGCATATTTATAAACTCCCCGTGATCTCTGGGCCTCGTTTCACAGTTCAGCGTGCAAGCTAGAGGGGGAGTGATGAGAGCAGAGAACACAACACTACCACACGGATAACCATGTCCTTCCGCTGTATCTTTCAACCTCTTTTTTTTTTTAACAGCTTTCATGTCTCCTTCACTACAAAGAGCCCAATAACAAAAGCACTTCATCACAGTCTAGACACATACAGCTTCTGCTATGCTCTCAACTCAAGCATAATTTAAGAACACAGGTCCATTTGTTTATGTGGTATGATTATCAATACACATATTAATAGTTGGTAGAGGTGGGCAACAGATCTGCAACATATTAAATTTGCAGTTTTGACAGGTATACAAAATGAAATGGTGATTTAATTTCACATTCACATTCATACACTAGTCATACACTAGTGTACACAAACACTGGGGGGAAGGTGGGTTAAGTGTCTTGCCCACAGATCAAAAGTATTCATCTGTGGGAGCTGGAATCGCACTGCCAACCTGTGAGTAAGTGGTTCTAACCGCTTCACCAATGATGTGTATCGAGAGCAGGATTCGAACCCATAACCTGCAGAGGACAAGCCCTCTACCAACTGAGCTACTGTTGCCCCATTGTCAAGTATAAGATACTGCAAAAAATATAAAGTCATATTTTTGTACTTTTGTGGTTTATTTTATAGTTATTCAATTTTTGTCAAATAGAGATGGAGATTTTGTCATAAGTTAGCCTAATGTGAAAACCAATACAGATTTTAAGGTGCTGAATTACTAAACCTGGGTTCACTCAACAGTATTTTGAGACTAGTATGATGTATTTATCAGTAGTAACCTAGCATCTTATTTGGGTTGTTCCACAGCTCTTTAAGTATTACAATGGAGATTTGGACTGCAAAGTTTGTAACATTTCAGAATTTGATCTCAAGCTCTATATTTCAACCACAAACAAAGCCATCTGCAAGTCAAGATATTAATTTTAGTCAGTGTAATCTGCTTGATCTATGAGTTGTGTGCAGTGATTCATAAAGCAGGAAGACTCACTCATTCTTAACCAGCGACAGAATCAGCTGTTCCCCTTCCACCTCCACCAACAGCTGCAGCGATGAAGGATAGCCCTGAAACACACAGAAATGAAAAAAAGAGGCATGAGATTTTTGATCTAGGAGCGGTTCTGAGAACTCCGGACTATGGGGCAGCGTTTGTGTGAAGTTTCACCTTCAGACAAACAGAGCAGGATGTGGTAAGGTACAATAGTGTGCACGGAAGAGGCATAGAAAGGCCGCTTCCTACTGCTGCCCGGTCTTCACAGGGTTGGTCTGGCTACAGCTCTGAATGGGTTTTGAAATGGTGTTTTGGAAATATTTTTGAGCTGAAAAAATTTTTGTATCTCATCATTCCAAACAGCATTAATCTTACAGAATTGAAAGTTGGTTCAGTCTGTGGAAAATGTTGTATATCCAGTTTGCTTTTCAATATCAAAACTGTAAATGCAACCTCAAAATTCAAAAGGAAAACAATTTTGAATCAAATGAAATGTGAAATGTCTGGATTTTGTTTGGCTGATTAAAACATTACAGTGAAAATACACACAGACAGATGCAAAGAAAATAGTGAAGGCATGTGCTACAAATAGTTTGGTTGGCAAGTCTGAAATGAGTATCTTTTATACAGAGGGATCAGTCTGGTCACCACTCTCTCGGTCAAAACTTGAGAAAGGCTCAAACATAGCTGTGATTACTGTTGATTATTTCATGAACGCATGTGAAACAGAGAAGCTCAATGGTCACATTTCATTTTAAACAAAATTAAGATGCAGAAATGTTTTTCAGTCCCAGGTGTCATCTTTTCTTTTTTTTTTCTCCCATGAAGTCATATTAATTTTGACGCGAACTGACCTGATTGGCTAATTCACCTGTCAATCACGCCTTTCTAAACTCTAGGAGATTCAGACTCTCTGTGTCCATAAGGTATTGTAAGTGTGTTATCTAGATCACAGGCAAACAAATTATACCTGGTTAACTGTCCACCAAAATGCAGTTATAAAATATATAAAAAGTGACAAAAAGTGCTATCTAAAATTAATGTTAATCTATAATTAAAGTACATTTGCAATCTCAGTGGATTTTCTTGTTATTAAAAGTCAAATGATCTATTTGTGTGTTTTCTATACATCGTGCTATCGGTTCAGCAAGAGCATGGATGGAGAGAGATTGGCTTGATTTGATTCCTTTGCCCTTGGCCCATCAGCGCATTCAGAAAACCCCACTTTATACAGTATATGAGAAATAAGGATTGGACTTCTTCTATCTTGTCTGGCTAAAAGTAATAGAAAGAACAAAATGTCAGCCACGCTCACTGAAATAGATTTATGTTGTAATGATTTATATTCAGCAGCGGTGCACCATCCCTCCTCTGTGACACCTCTGGTCTGCAGGCCAGACCGGACTTTATTGAATGGACCCTATCGGAGGTCACAGTGTGGAAGTAATAACTTGGACGCACTTTACAACTGCTAGATAAACTTCTATTTGGAGAAATCTGTTATCCAGCCCACTTTAACCCTTACTGCACAGTGCCCTGCCCGATAAGCCAATCAAAAGTGCTCCCGCAGTCAATTTAATTTAGGGAGGCCACTTTTCAGATAGCCTTATGTCAAATCTGGCCAACCGACAAGAAAAAAGTCAGCATTACCAGCCAGTTAAAGGGCCCATATTGCACAATTTTCTGATCCATACATACCCAGAGCTGTGTTTTGTTTCATTCACACATGTTTTACATATAACCACACAGATGCATACTTAGACTGAATTCTCAGACTGTTCCAACTTGTGATGTCATGTGGTAATACAAGAAGTGCTCCACTGTGGTTTTAAAATCCATACACCACTAGACTCATGTAGATGATTTCAGACCTAAACTAAACAATAGGTAAAAGGCTGTTAAATTGAAAAATACTGGAACAGAGCATTTTGAGCTTTGGAGATGTAGAGAGCCTGACAATGCAGGATTACTCAAACATGTGTGAAACAAAACACAACTGCATGTTTTTGATGCGGTAACAACATTCTAACATGGCTTAAAGCTCTGAAGAATCCATTTTGTGTAATATAGTACATTTAAGTCTTGTATCTGATGTACACAGCATGACTAAATAAGATAGATTTCTGCTAAGCATACAATTGTGACACATTTCTGTAGTTGGCAGAGTGAGGTGGCTGTAATTAACATCACTGACCTTGTTTTTTTATCACAAAAACAGAATAGTGGGAAAAAACTAAACTTACAGATGGTGAGTTCTCCACACCAGGAAAAATGGTTGATTGCTTTGGGAGTTCTCATACATCAGTGCACTTCCCGCTAAAGGAAAACTTGATGCTACAGTGGAGGAAGATGTCCAAGTTCACACATTTTTTCTGCAGTTGTGTTATGTTGCTCTTCTTTTGATAACCCACTGCAAAAATAGTTACCTAGAATTCAAATTACACACTTTGACAACACTTCTCAAAGATGTGAGTTTGGCCACTAATCTCCCAGAGTTCTGATGGGCGTGATTGACAGTTGGCTTAGACAATCAAGGACACACACGGTAGTCCATCAAATATGACTGCTTGCAAGGAAAAAAGAAAGGAGAAAAAATCACAGAGGACTGAGAAACCTAACAGATTTCTGTAGAATCAATGAGAGAAGTACTAAAATCTGAAAAACCTCGTCTGAGGTGAGAGAAATAATTTTATTCAAAATGATGGATGACCAATGAGTCAAGTGAGTCTCTGAAAAATCTGACCTCTGTAAGGATTATACAATGAGATATTGTACTGGATGTGCCAAGCAAAAAAAATAAAATTATCAAGGTACTGTTAAGCATTTTCTGTAGCGCTTGTTTTGAAATGATGAATTCAAAAATGTAACAATATTGTAGTGAAGATGTACTAGTAAAATAGTGTTGAAAGAACAGATTCATGTTGCTGGTGTTTTCATATTAATATTATGTTACCCACCCATCATTTTTGGGTGTGCTGTTGCCGTTCCTCAAATATCAAATTTTTTTTTATATTCCATTAGAAATACTTCTTTTGTTCAATGCCAAAAATGGTACACTGTCACTGGGCTGTTTCTTACTGCTGTAGGTTTGCTGTGACTGATGAAAAGCTGACGAGGTTCACAAATTGTTCACAGCATGTAGCGCCCACGGGCCTAACTTGTATTCAATAAACAAAGGCGGTTACATACAAAGCGGTGAACGCCATAGAAGCCACTACAGGGAGTGTGTAAAAGAAAAGGGGATTTCTTCTGTAGTGGAACCAGGCAGGGAAGTGTACGCTGTGGTTACATCAAGCAGAAAGCTCACATGTGCAGTGGGCAGGGCTCTTGGAAGTGGGCTGGTACGCTGAGTCATGGGTAAGTTTGGTGCTGGTGCCAAAAAGTTTATGGATACAAGGTTATTGTTTGTATTGGTTGGACTACACAGGGGAGGGGATACTGCACAATCTGTCGTAAAACTGAGAAGAAGTGAAGGGCACAGACCAAAGACCACCTGACAACACAATAAAATGTTAGATAGAGTTTGGTGGGGGTAAAATTCCTCAGTCGTTCAGGTAGAATCTATGGCAAAAGAGAAATTTAAATTTGCAACTAGACAAAAGTTTATTTTGGTCGAATACGTTTCACAGCTCATCCAAGCTACTTCTTCACTTCTGGTCAGAATGCTGATGGACATTGCCTTATATCTGCCTGTAGGGAGGAGCTAACTACACTCAAATTAGTGTTAATTTCAGAGAAGAGAAACAAGGTTAGACAAAATCAAACTTTTGTTCAGTTGACAAATTTAAATTTCTCCTTTGCCGATAGAGTTTGGTCAAACTAATTTAGGTTTTAAGTAGGCCTATTGAACAAAAATGCATGTTTTTGTGAGTATTTTCATGCACTACAGAAAGCCTATAGCATTCTGTAAAAAAAAAATAATAATAAAAAAAAAGTTTATTTAAAAAGTGACAAACTTTCAATTATGTTTTTGTGGAAAGGAATATATGGCCACCTGTATTTCTATCCCCAGTATACTATGAGCCTTCATCACACTACAGCTAGTTGCGGTTGACTAACGATTGCAGGTATCCATTTATCATTATATGGGGAATTAGCAGCATAAGCACTTTACATATCAGAGTACTGCACCGGTTCTGTGTTTATAAAGTTAGCAGAAAGTAAAATATTTTAAAGAATTAAAGTAAAGATAGTTTTTTTTGTCTTTTAGTTTGTATATATTATACTATTCTATATTGTATTATTATACTATTTTTTATAACTTTACTTCATATGTCAAGAAAAATGAACAATAGTCTCAGCTTTAAATGAAATGCTTGTCTTTGAAAACACAGAAGTCTCCTCAGGTAAAGTATAAATATGTTATGTTATTATCCATTCGTACCTCAAGTGGTGACCACAATAGTTTTAGTGACGTAACTAGCTGGAGTGCTGCTGTACATGGAACCCATTCAAATGAAATGACGTTAGCATAAGCTGAACTGAAATGCTAAACACAAGTATTGAAGCACTTACATCATGTTATCAGTGATTTTACTGATGTGCGAATCTGTTTTCTATCTCCATAATTTTGCATTACACTCTTAACTGTGTGTGCTTCAGTAAATATTTATTTACCCTGTTGTTAAGCTGGCTCAGAGGTCTCCGCTCCTTTCCTTTCAGAAGAAGAGGTACGGTGGTCTCATAGCGTTGAGGTTTGGTCAAGTTCTGCAATGGCATCCTCTTCTCATCCAAACTGCTTTCTGTAAAAACATCAAAAACAGTTCATTGAAAAACTGTGGAGCAGGTTCTGATACCTCTGCTACACCTACAAGATTTTGAAAACATGTGTCTAGACAAATAGGTCAAGAATTCCATTTTGTTAGCTTTCACTTTAAATAATTCAAACAAGTTAATCATGTTTTATTTTGCCTCATAGGGACTCAATAATCGAGATGGCATATTTAAAGGCTGTGTAAGGACGGTAAAAGCAGGAGATGTGCGGTGTCCCAGAGGCCCTTCGCAATAAGACTGCAGCGGTAGACTTGTTATAAATAATAGATATTCAGCGCAGTTTGAAAGAAGTTAGTCTTTTGCTAGGAATATAAAAAAAGAAATAGAGCTTGCTTACTTCATATTGTAGATGGGAAAACCACATGACAGCTTACATGGTTATCTGCTTAACCATACAGCTTTTAAATATGAACTGATGGGAAATTATTTTAATAAGAATGCTGAATTATGAATACACACTGGGAGGTTTCTTATACATATATTATCTTACATTTATGGAGCACAGGCAAGAACAAATTTCATATTGGAAAAGAGGACCTGAAATGTTGCTAAGAATTTAAAATGAGTTGACAAAATGTAACAATTCAGAAATTATGAAAAGTTTATCTGAAAATTAGCTTAAATCAGCTAATGAATGTTTGTTATTGTGAATTGAATGGAACGGTAATGTAAAATTGAATAGTGAATTGTGAAGATATGTCAATTCTAGTCAAAACAAAATATACATTTAATTGACAATATATCAGAATAAATCAGAATTGTAAATATTAAAAGGTCCTACATTGTGCAAAATTTAATTTTGTGAGCTTTAAGCCATGTAAAGTCATGTGACCTCATCAAAAACATACCTGGAGCTGTGTTTTGTTTCATTCAAACAACCCATTTTCTCTACATCCACAAAGCTCAAAATGCCCTGTTCCACCTTGTGATGTCATGAAGCGGTAGTTTTCAAGTTAACAGCTACTTTTACTTTTTGTTCAGTAGAGATAGGCAATTCAGGGCTGAAATTATCTAAATGATTTTAGTGGTTAGGGCTGGGTATCATTAAGAAGTTGGCAATACGATACATACCTCAATACATAGGTCACAATACGATAAATATCTCGATACAGTGAGCTTTTGATTTAATACGATACATTTCAAAACAATTCGATACGATAAAAAAAAAAAGACTAAATGATGGCTGTGAAACTAAAAGTCTTTTTGTGCAAAGTGAATATGAAACACACCCATTTTAATCACAAAAACAATGAAAAATGTCAAATGTGTCGCATAAAAGAGTTTCCTTCCTCTGAACAAGCAACAAAATTGCAGCGCTGTAACAAAATAATTTAGTAAAATATACCAAAAAATACTCTTGGTGAGATATCGATACAGCAGCCCATGATATCGATACTGTATCATCACATTGAACAATACGATATCGATATTTCAATATTTTTGCACACCCCTAGTGAAGTGTATGGAGTTTAAAAACACACTGGAGCACTTCACATCACAAGGTGGAACATAGTGTTTCCTGTTTGACTGAAGAACTCGCTAAATATGTACCATTTGTGTGTTAAATGTAAAAGAAACAAAACACAACTCCAGGAATGTTTTGATGAGGAAACTTATATTTTATAACATATCAGAAAAAAAACTAAAAAACTTTAAATACTAGACACCTCACATACACCTATGGACTACCTTGACTGAAAGTTTGGCACAAAATTGCTAACCGTCTTCAATCAAAATCAAAATAATTACTTCAGTTAGCTAACAAAATCTGTCACAACCATAACTTTTCCATTTTCCCAGACGTCTTGGATCTATAGACAGCTGAGACTCATAATGCTACCAAACTGTCAGGCAGCACATCCAACCAGGAGCAGACCTAAATCTTCACTTGGAGACTCCACAAACCCATGGGCTGAAGAGACTGTGGCAGCAGGAAGCGCAAAAGCCAAAGAGGTTGTTTGAGGTTCCTCGCCCCCCACTGTCACTAAAGGAACATAGATCGTTGTTTACCACGCGCTAGCTAATCCCCGGAGATGCTAACGTAAAGCATGTTTGTAACTGAGAGCGCGTGTGCATGTCAGGCGGCCTACAAGAGGAGTTTAGAGGAGCAGTGAGGAGGGATTCTGTCTGACATTTGGTTTACCCTGTCCCTCGGCTACAGTGTCAGCTCTTTTAACCTCAGCTTCTTTTAAATGCCTCTTGCCACTTCACGTCGAGAAATGATATAGCGTGGTTATGTTTGCAAAGCAGGAAAAATGGCAATGTTGTTTTTAGTGTGGGAGGACTGCTGGGTTTCAGATGACATCACAACATTCTATATGCCAATAATATTTAAAGGTCTTACATTATGCAAAATTTACTCTTAAATATGCTCATAGGATTTGTGTGCTAAATGTGTGAATGAAACAAAACACAACTCCAGGCATGTTTTTGATGACGAAACAACATTATAACATAGATCAGAAAATTGCGTAATAAATACAGATGGGGAACAGCTAAAATGAATATTGGTAAAAAGTAGATTTTGTTGTAATCCAAAGAGTTCTGGGGTCAGGTCAGTAATAATGGCCAAATTGGTCTGAAAAAGCTTTGAAATAGAAATGGTTCCATTGACTTCCTGAAAAAAAAAAGCTACATTTTGAAGTTCCTCCTCTTCGTAGCTGCATTTCATTTTTTCTTTTTCAATCAAACTTATAACTTTGAGTAAACTAATGATGAGGGTGATGCTACAAGCTCATAGTTGCACATGTCCAATTTAAATCAAAAGTGAGAGAAGTTAGAGTCAGTTCAGTTAAGTTCAGTCTGAAATACCAGCATATTTGACATTAGGCGGTACACAGTTGAATGATACGCTGCAAATATACAGCTGTGATAATGGTACCTTCAATTCTAAAGAAAATGTATCCAAAAAGAACTCTCTATGGGTGGGATTGCAGACTCATAAAACAAGCTCACAAAGGGCTGTGCATATGATCCATGTGGGGTTAACAGAGCGGAACACACAAAGCAAGCTGAGAACAGAAGATCACCAGCGCATGTAGTGACCCTGGGTAAAATATGCTAATACACATGTATCTGCACAACTTGAGATCACTGACTCTATCTTCCATGACAGTTATGTTAAAGGCAAATTTCTTTTTCTTGTTCATATGCTTTCCATTTCTAAATATGAACAGGAAGACGCATATCATTAACTATTATTCATGATCTACAGTCTTAGCTTAGAAATAATGGCTTAACAACACTTGAATAGGGACAGTGGTCCAGAGCATAAAAAGAGAAATTCAATTAAAGCAAACCTATTTTGCAAAATTGCCTTTTCAGAGCTTTTAGTGATGTTATAGTTGTTTTTCCTTTTCTTCTTCTTTCTTCTTGAAGTTAGTATCTGGAGTGATTCATGCATGTTTAGGCAACGTTTAATCACTTATTTTCAAAAAGCCATATTGCCAATCAATCACTGTTTTCACTGCCACCAGTACACACTCACTGCTCTGTTCCAACTTCATTCTTCAATGGAAAAAAAATACACTGCTCAATAGTGGCTATCAGTCGGACTTGCCAAGTCTTTCTCTTGTGATGATGTTTACGGCAACGTCAGCTCCCCACTGCGGTGTTCTAATGCAGAATCAGCAGTCCTGTTTCTTTTATTAAGTTTTTTTTAAATGAATATTGCGATTTAAAATGTGCAAACTATAACATCATGATCCATGATTGTCAGAGATTATAACTATATATTAGGCTTAAGTACAATATGAGTTTCATTATATGCATTTGAGGTATCAGAAAGGGTGCTAAAATAATTTGGTTTTCAGTAAAAAAAAATACATTACACAAACATCAAATGCATTATGTAAGTATAATGTAAATAAAAGACTCCCTGTTCCCATTTATTTTAATTAGTGTGACTCAGAAGCTAAATAACACCTGTACATGCTAATTCTGTAAAAACATCTGAAGCATGTTTGCCTAAAGATGTCCAAATACTACAAAAATTAAATCTTGAAATAAATCAGTGGAGTCATTGAGTTTTCATGAGTGGTTCGTACTGGGACTGTGTTGTTAATTAACTGATGGCTAATGGGAATTACAGCCGCGGATGGTCCACCTTGATCAGCAGGGATACAGCAGAGCCAACAGCATAAACAAATGAACACTCTTGGCCACACTGCTGGCTATGAAAGTTTTGAGTGTAATGAAAATAAAAGTTTATGGTCAATGCTGACTCCATTAACTCCACTTAATTGTTAAAAATCAAGTTTAAACTGAGAAAATCCTACATCCACATTTTGAATTGTATATACCCATTATGTCTCTATATTTTATGACATTACCCATAAAAATAAATGGGAGACATGACACTGTGGAGATACAGGACAAATATAACGTATGTGGGTATGTAAGTCTCTTGGGTCACCAGAATTTTTATTATAAAACTGTATCATTAATTATTCAAATGGAGTTCAACAGTCCCGTCCACTTATAAGTCTGCTCTGGTTTCAGGAACTCAAGGTTTTTAAGTTTCAGAAACAGATTTTAAATAAAATTACAGGTCTTGTGGCCATTACTTACCACATAGCTATTTATTTATTTATTTTCGGAAAGTCTATGGGAAAAAATCATGAAAAATGTATCTCCGGAATCGAGGAGCGGGCAGTCACTGTTGAGCTCCACTAAGCATCGTATAATTTGTTGTGCCAAATCAAAATTCTAGTAGATGTAATGTAATGTCAGTGACGTCAATGTAGTCGATATCTGAAACCATTAGCACATAACCCCTACTGAATCCTGATTTCAACTATCCAGTGGAAGAAGGAAGCAGATAATGTTATAAGCCATGATGTATGTAAAATGCCTCAGTCATCCAGGTAGAATCCATGGAAAAGGAGAAATTCAATTTGTCAAATGGACAAAAGTTTTGTTGGTCGAATGACCAGTTGACAAAACTGAATTTCTCCTTTGCCATAAGCCG